CACACACACACACACACACACACACACACACACACACACACACACACCCCATTGTAGATCACTAAGGAAGACAAAAGAGATAGCTAGACCATGGGAGAGAAAGACTCAGAGAAATGAGTTGTGCCCCGCAGGGGTGGGAAACCTTCAGCCTCAAAGCCACCATGCGGCCCTCGAGGTCCTCAAGTGAGGCCCTTTGACTGAATCCAAACTTCACAAAACAAATCCCTTTAATAAAAGGATTTGTTCTGTAAAATTTTGACTTAGTCAAAAGGCTGCACCCAAGGACCCAGAAGGCCACATGTGGCCACGAGGCTGCTGGTTCCCCAGTCTTGGTCCAGAGCAAAGAACAGAGCTCTTATCTGGGATGCTGTTTATCTTCAAACTCAAAGATGCCAGACATCTCAATCTTTGTGTCCAATCCCCTGTTCTACAAGCCTAGTCCTCCTTCCCAGGCTGTGGTGGGGATTTGTTAGTTCAGAACTATAGTGTTCTCTTGAAACAAAAGGGGTTGAAGAAAAGAAGGCAGCCTCATTCTTAGAGCTAGGTTTGGACAACAGACCAGATCTCAGAGCATTTTCTATTTGTTTAAATTCCTTCTCCTTGGCAATAGCATAATCTGAATTTTACCTAAATGGGAAGGAGAGGTTTTCTCTTTATTCTACTTCATTCCTTTCATTCTATTTCCCATTTAAAAATTGGTATGATAGCTTTCAAACCCTTCATTTTCATAACTGAGAAACAGTTCCAGATGTTTCCTCATTTTTACATGTTAGAAGCCAAGCGACATAGTTAGCAAAGGTGTATGTGCCATGGGGAGAGTTTGAAAACTGAGACATCTTAACACTGGTCCAAGTTTAAAGTCTCCCAAGCCAACTCTCGACAAGGCTTTCCTTCTGATTCATGCCCCTGGAATGCCCTCACTATGCCCCATGAGACAGAGGGAAAGTTCCTTTTGCAGCGTTCCTAACCCCTCAGGAGTTACGTATATGACTTTCTGAGTCTTTTCTCTCTGACTTTGCACATCCAATCCCTTACTAATTCCTGTTAACTCCATGGTGGTACTCTGTCTCATAACTGCTTCCTCTCTCTATTCCCCCTGCTACTGCCTTACCATATTTCCACTTATTTATTCTTTGCAATAATGTCCGACAGGTCTTCCCTCCTATCTATTTCCTCCCTGCTCCAACTTGTCTTTTGTACTGTTGTCAGAATAATCTTTCTTCTGCCCTATTTGGTTATGTCTTTCCTCTGCTCAAAGTTCTACTCTCCAAGCTACTTTGTCTGGAATTCAAAGACCTCCGCAATTTGGCCCCATCCTTCTCCTATGACTCCCCATTCTCAAGCCTTCTATTCAGACAAATTTGACTTCTCTCTCTTCCCCAAACATGTCACATATCTTTTCCCCTGCCTCCATTCCTTTTTTTCATGCAATTCCTTATGCCCAGAATATCTCTTCTCACCCTCTTTGCCTGCTTAATCCCTCCCCATTCTTTAAAGCTCAACTCATATCTCACCTCCTCCATGGAGCTGTTCCCAATCTTCTATGTTACCAACAACCCCTTGGACCTCACTTACATTTGGTTGTGTACCTCACTAATGCATTTATTATATGGTGCTGTACATCATAATGATCTGTTATTTGTGTTATCCCCTTGCTAAAACCAACAATTTCATGAAGGCAGGCCCCGTAGCTTGTCTAGTCTTTGTATGTCCCACAGTACTCTGAACACAATAGGCACTCAATAAATGTTTGCTTTATACCCACCTGTCTTGAAGCTCTTTGTTACCTAGCACAGTGTCCCATGCCTGCTTTTCATATTCCAGAGCTGTCTCCCTTTGGCTTTCCTTGCCTTCTGGGGCCTAGGTGGGAAGAATAACCAACAGTTCAACAAACACTTGTCTGGTATTAGTATATGTAGAGCACCAGCACTAAAGAAAGGGCAGGGCGTCATAAGCTTCTGCTTAGGGAAAAAGTAGAAAAGACACATGAGACACATTTTTCAACATGGAAATGTTGGTTCATGCTTGGATCCAGGTTAAGGGAACACGAGAGGGTAAAAATTCCTTCCAACATCTGCACCCTCATCTTCTAAGTATTCAAGACAAAGTACCAATCAAGGTGAAGAGGTTCCATAAGCTATGCTTTCAATACTTCCTATGCTATTCCCACATACACACATACCACCTGTTGACTCAAGCCCCAACCAAGTAGGTAAACCAAGTGAAGCTTATCAAGGCTTTAAATTACTCACCAACACACAGTAACAGAACAGATGTTGTTAGCCTATTGCCTGCTTCAATAAATGCTTTAACTGGGACAACTACAGATGTTAGTGAGGACCAGAGTACCACACACAACGCAAGTTGTTGCTGGTTTCCAAGAGAAAGGAAGCAGGTGGCCAGTATCTTCCCTATTCCTATAAGCAACAGGTCTGAGATTTTCTATCATCCTCCTTGAAACAAGACCCATTTTTCAAAGACTTAGGCTGTCAGATTTGGAAAGAACTTCCAAGAGGTTATCCTTGATCCACCCCCCCTTTGCTTTAAAGACCAATCAAAGCCTAAATCATTGAGATTTACTTGTCCTTATTTTTGAAGCTCAGGGACAAATAATAGCTCTACTCTACTAAAAGAACTAGGGGATCATATAGGAAAAGAACTAGAGGAAAATCTCTAACTTAATGTCCTATAGTGGACAAGAATCACATAGGATAAGAAGACTTGGAAGAATTGAGATCTCTACTAGTCAATATTAGCACGATCTTATAGATCCATCTAAGAGGCTAGGGGATTACTCACATCCATACAGTGCTCTCTATTTTAGAAAGTGTGTTGTCATTTTAACAGCCCTGTACTTGGTACCATATCATTAGCCTCTTTTTGGAGATGCAGAAACTGAGACCCAGAAAAGTGAAGTGACATATAGAAGGTCATGAGTTAAGTGTCAGGGCCAGAGTTCAAATACAGGTTATCCAATTCCAAATCCAATTTGACTCTTTCTACTATGCCATGCTTTCTCTGAGAGATAGATTCTATGGCCTTGTTAGCACCTCTTCTAATTAAAAAAAATCTTTGGATCTAACAGTTATTTCCTGCTTTAAAAAAAAGAGGGAGAGAAAGAAAGAAAAGAAAACTTTGTCTTTAGCCCCTCTACTGTGGAAATTAAGGATTCTAAACCTGGGACCCATGAACTTTTAAAAAATACATACTTTGATCATTGTATTTCAATATCATTAGTTTCCTTTGTAACCATATGTATTCTGTTTTATGCATTTAAAAACATATTTCTGAGACTGCTAAGGGGTCCATGATAAACACAAAAATGGTTAAGAAGCCCTTGGTATAAATGAAGATGATAATTTTTTTTTTAATCCTTTACATGCTAAGATGATAATCTTGATCTCTTAAGAACGTATGTTAGGTGATGCAGTGGATAGAGCACCAGCCATGGATTCAGGAGGACCTGAGTTCAAATCTGGCCTCAGACACATAACACTTACTGTGTGACCCTGGGCAAGTCACTTAACCCCATTGCTTAGCCAAAAATAAAAAAAATTAAAAAAGAATGTATGAAAATTCTGAGTTGTCATTCTAACAGTGGAGGCTACCTGTACTGAATATTACCATTCCCTCTCCTGATCCTTCCTATGACCCAGTGACATGCAATTTGCAAGGTGATTGCCAGTGATACAATCTGTGGCCATGGGAAAGAGTGGCTACCTGGCCTACTTGGAGATTGAGTCTTGGGTTTACTCCCCATAGGTCCTGTGTCCTCTAATTTAAACCACTAGGCTAACATAATCACAGACCTTCAGAAGATAAAAGACCCAGGGCCAGAACCACCCAGCCAACAAATCTCACCAAGCACTTACTTTGGAAAGGTGGGATTGTTGCCCAGAGGCAATGGTCTTGGATGACATTTGCGAGACTCTGGCATTGGTCTTCCTGGAGAAAGCTTCTCTCTGTTTCTTATACACCTCCTGCAACTTCTTCTCTCTCAGCTCCAAGGCTTTCTTTACAGATATTTTGGCTTCAAGGCACCTTCTCTTTCTTTCTATTGCTTTCTGATTCATGAATTTCCGGATTTCTATAGTGGTATAGGGCCGAGAGGTACTCCTGTCTGTTTTTCTGTGGGTCCCTTGGTAGTCATTTTCTTTTCCAGGTACTTTCCATGCCTCAGAACTACCCATCCTTGAAGAAAGGTTCTTTCCATCTGAGACAAACTGAAGATTCCTTCTTCCCACTGCTCCAGTTTGAGGTTTTGAGGAATGCCATTCTGATTCACCTGCTTTCTTGGTAGACATGCCCTTTGGAGACTGGGATCGTGTTCTTTTGTTGTGTGCCTTGTCTTGAACATGTGATTGGAGATTTCTCAAAAGATTCAAGAGAGCTTGGAATGGTTCAGAACTACCACAGCCCACTGGTGCTGAAGTTTCTGGAGAGACCTGGGAGTTTCCATGGAGAGAAGCTGCTCCTTTCTGGTTGTTTATATCTGGGGTGGGGGGTGGTATGTGCTCAGATTTTTGAGTCTTCTCCCTCAGTCCTACAAACACATTCACAGAAATATTAAGGAAGCTGGGGGTGGAGGAACATTGGGGAAAAGATCAAGAATGGCCAACAAGGGGGTGTGGGCAGGGACTTTGCCCAAATTTATTCCCCATAGCCTTTATCCAGAAGCCACAGTGTCAGATATCCCACCATTACACAGTCCCTACTGAGTTTGAAACATTTCCCCCACCTCCCCAGGTGGCCAGGGTCTGCACATTGCCCCATCTTGCATGTCAAGGAGAACTGCCTGATAAGCTTATTCCCACTGACATACGAATAGAGAAAGACTTATAGGAAGCAAAGCATTACAGCATGAAGAAAGCAGAATCAGAACAATAATATTACACACACTGAAATTATTTTTACGTAGCCACAAGTAACAACTGCAACAATATTTTTTTAAATGCACAGAAGAAAAGATCCAAGGCGACAGGGGAGCAAGCAGGATAGTGTTATAATATTTGCTAATTTGCATTAAAAAAAACAAATTCCTAGTGATTTATAATTTATATGTATGATCTTTTTAAAATTCTGGTTTATTGTAATGTTTTTGTTGATGATTACTATTAGAATTTAAGAAATTTCTTCCCCCTCACCTCCCAAAAAAATCCTTTCTACAAAGTTTTATATTTGAAAACAGATACTTGGAGAGAGCAATGTTTAACCCCAAAAGAATGAAGCACTTAATGCCCTCATATTTCAAGTATCACTAATAAGTCAGTACAGGAGATATTCTAGGGAAGGGCCCCAGATGGGACACTAATGACTCTGTCTACTCGGGTTCTACCTCTCCAAACACAGACTCAGTAATGTTTCTCTTCCAGTTTCTCATCCAGCTCTTCCCCTCCCTCCCACCACATATACACCACCTAATTAGTACTGAAGTAGAAATTTAGGAAAGAATTCCATTTCCAGAGCAGCACCAAATACCTGACTCCTTTGAGGTGACTAGGCCTTTTAAGAGGGCCCGATTCTGGAGCTGGAGAAACGTGGGAGGGGGCCCAAGGAGGAGCCTCACAAGCCTCTGTCCCTTTCTCCATGCAGAAACGCCAGTCAGCTTAGCATCTTAAAGAAAAAACATACAGCCCCTGGATGCAACAGAGCCCCTTTAGAGTGCTGGGGTCAGGGACAGAGTGGGAATCTCAGGTTAGGATGTAACAGTGCTAGTCCAGGAAGACTTTGATGGAGTGCCAACTCTATCACATTAATTAGCCACATAACTGGGTAAGTCAAACTTTCCTTCCTTCATCTGGAAAAATGGCAAGAATACTTACTTCACTTCCCCTGAAGGGCTGTCATGAGGAAAGGATATCATGCTTCATAGTCTAAATGTGAGCTATGAGCTCTCTATGTACAGATATACTATGATGGAGGAAAGAACACAGTCCTTGACATCAGGAAACCTGGGCCCTAATTCTGTTCTATCATGCCTTTGTTGAGGACCACAGGCAAATTACTTACCTATCCCTCTTGGCCTTGTTTTCCTCAGCTGTTACATGGAGGGGCACCACCTTCCCTACTTACCACACAGAGCTGCTTAATAAGGATCAAATGAAAAAATGAATGTGAACATATTTTGGAAATGATACAACACCATACCAAGAGACAAGAGATGAGGATGAAGATAGCTTTTCCCCAGATACCCTCTCTTGTCATCCTTACCTCTGGCTCATCATGCTCTTTTATCAACAAATGAGAAAGCCAAGGGCTGGGAACTGATCAAAATGGACTAGCTTCCTTGCCTCTTTTGGCCTTCCCAGAATAGCAGCTTGTTAGGCCAGATGTGAGACCTATCCTGTAAACCAAAGCTGCCTTCCTAGCCTACGGAAGAGCATCGTCACTAACGTAACTCAAGCTCAATGGACTGCACAGTGAGCCAGAGTGAGGGTTAATGGAAATATCATTTTATTTTTGATGATTTGCACCTCATGAGAGCAAACTAATTTGATTTTAAACTGGTGCAAGTCAGCAGGAACAGAGAAAGAGAATCAATGAAAGCTCCTAGCCCAGGCAGAATGAGAGGCCCTGTATAATGCAAAAATAAATGATCTACCACATCACAAACACAAATGAGTTTTCTTTAATAAATGTTGTCACATAATAAACACCATTTATCAAGGTTTTACTTCATAATTTCAGATTACATTCACCAGATGCCGATAGCAACACCAAGATCATTACAAATACATAGACAATCTCTACCAACAGACACTTGAGATGTTCTCTCTCTCTCTCTCTCTCTCTCTCTCTCTCTCTCTCTCTCTCTCT